GCCCCCCCCCCGCCACTGGCGGCTCAGGTGGTAGGCCCTCAGGGAGCTCTTGGCCACGGCAAGGAGATGCCCAGCAGCAAGTAGCTCCAGCTGCACTCTGGAGGCTGCATGGAACCAGCCATGTCTGGCCTGTTGGCGCACACCTTCAGACCAGACCAGGCTGACACCATGCCAGCGCATGGGGCTCATGGTACTGCAGGCGGGAGCTGCGCACCAGTGGGCTGGGCTGACTCCATGCTTCCATGTGGAGCTTCTAGCACTCCAGTGGAAAGCCACATATGGAGGCACAGAATTGCGTCATTGAGCCAGCTAGGCTCCACGCCTCCACATACAGCTTACAGCTGGAATGCTGGAAGCCCCCCATGGAAGCATGGAGACAGCTGGGCCAGCATGATGGCACGCAGCTGACACTCCGCTCAGGCCCTCCCCCACGCACACCCACCCCTGCATCTGCAGGCAGGAGCTCCCCTCCCCACTTACCAGATGTCAAGTAGTGCACCACCATGATTGGTGCTTCCATACGGGGCTCCCAGCTGGAGTGCTGTGAGCCCCACAGAGATGAAGGCACAGAGCCTGACAGGGTTAAATTATGCAATTATATATGGTCACGCCTTTTATGTGCAAAATTGCATGGGTGCATAATTCTCTGGGATGTATCTAGTAAGAGAGTCACTTGTCATTTCCTTAATAAGCCTAGAGATTACGTGGTCAGAGAATAAAAGACCTGTAAAAATTACAAAATAATGATAGGCAGAAATAGCTGCTACATGCACTTACAGAAAATCTACCACTGAATCTGTCTTTGTCTTCGGATACAAGATACACTAGAACATCACCACCCCTGGGTGTTAACCCTTCCCTTTACACTGAGCACACAACTGGTGTTTCTTATGGTCTGTAATAATTCAAGGTAGTTCTCTCTCATCTGCAACAGTTCAGCTTTAACCATGTCAACACAAGGGGTCTACAATAGTTATCTGCCTATCCTTCATGCGCCTAGATAAAGCATTTCTCCATCCAAGTGAAAAATCCTAACTCACTACATCTGCCTATATGCTCTGCTAGTAGGTGAGTGAAATGATGTACAGAACCGAACCAATTTCCTTACTTTCTTGGACAGGGCATCAGCATATGCTTCCCTCAGTTTCTTGACGGAGAACATGGGAATGATATTGTGAGCACCTGCACTACCCAATGTTCTGTGAATGGACTGAAAGTCTATAGGACTCATTTTTCAGCTCTGAGTTCTAGGACACTGATGTGAGGTCTGAAGTCCCAACAGTCATTCACAAGGAGAATGTAAGTCAAAACAGTCAGACTCAGAAGCATCTTACAGACTGCATATTCTATTTGGGTTGAACCTTGAGAGTTATCAGGAAGCCTCATCTATTCTTTTTAGGAGAAAAATCATGGCTTCAGTCTGGAATACCTCTAATAATGGTGATTCTTTTCATGGGTTGTTCTCCTAGATGATCAATAGCCCAAAGTACTGGAAGAGGTCGGCCTAATCTTGAAGTGTGGAAGATATCCTGTTGAACCAACTAAGAATTAACTAATATGGCCTTGCATCTGCAATGTACTACAGATATTTAGGGGCTTTTCTGAGTAAATCTAGTGGAAAGAATGAAAGACAAGACATGGAACTGGAAGTAATTTCTCCCCACAGAAAATCAAAACTCTTGGCATGGATCAGTTATTCCCACATGGAAGCAAACATGCTTGAGACTGAGTGACAGACTATTCTATTTCCCTGGGATAGAAAAAGAATAATGTCCTCTGGCAGGGGTGGGAAGAACCTGCAACCTGGGCATCCTTTGTATGAAGCATGCAACAAACTGGCGAGAGGACAGACAGCACAACAGCAGCAGATAGGGCAAGAAGCAGAACAGCAGATCAGGCAGGGAAAGGGACACTAGGGAAGGGTGTGGGGCTAATTTGTGGCACACCTGTCAAAAAGGTTGGCCTCCACTGTCATCCAGTATTAGTGTCCTGCTATGAAACTATAGCAAAGTCACTATTTCTGATGCTGTTTTATATCCAGCAATCTAACACCAAGTAACATGGAAGAGACATGGCCCATATTGCAAAAGAAGAAGAGTGTGGTTCAGTCATATGAAAACTGTTGTTTAAGGGCCAGAAGCTCAGATGATGTGTGATAAGGAGCCCTACTTCTGTTCTGAGGTCCTTTGGCAAAGGCAGTCCTGGGAGTGGCAGAAGACTGGTGTCTTTCCTGGGATCATGCTCTGTAGTGTTTATACAGAGAGGGACTGTCTATGGTACTGAAGCAAAGTATTTTATCTCCTCGTTAATGAAGATCGGGAAAGCCATAAGGATCAGCTGCAACTTTTGTTTTAATTCTCTCCAAAGTCTGCTTCAATTTATGACTAAAAGACCTGGACTCTCAAAGAGAAGTTCTTTCAGTTATGGAGACCTGAGTATCTAATCCCGAAATATTTCCACAATAGAATCTGAGGGGTCACAGGATGCTTTCTACTTGCCTAATGCCACTTCCTATTAGTTATCAGTTCACCTGCAGTCAAAAATAGGGTTGACACACAGTATAATATAGTTATATATAGACACAAGGGCTTAGCAATTCATTACTTGGAAACACAAAGCAGCAGAAGAATGCCCTTTTCTTCCAGCCTATACCTCACTTCTAATCAAGGAAACAGACGGTAACACTTGAAAATATCTTTTTTATGGAGAATTCCTAGGATGCAGATGCTAGCAGTGAATCAGCTCAGAGACACTGCAACAAAAACTAATAACCTCCTAGAGCACAGGTTACATATTAGTTGTTTTGATACTTGTGGTAGGGATATAAGATTGAGCCAGATGACCTTAGCTGGGATGAGTAGTCCCATGAGAATAGGGAATGTGACTTTATCTTTTATCTTCTATTCCATGATGTAAAGAAGGGAAGAGATGCGTTTCATCCTAAAACCACCATTTGAAAGGGTTATCAGAGCTTGTCTTTCCAAAAGTGCCCGAAACAATTTCTGTTCATCAGGAGAAGATGAAAAGAAGCCCTAACACAGATGAAGCCCCGATCTGGTATTCAGAGCACATTGGGACATTCTTCAGTGGGAGGATGCTCCATTTATTCCCAGCTGTTACACTTAAGGCAACAGTACCAGTGACAAATGCCAATTTTATCTACACAGAATTAAAGGGATGCTCCTAAAATTCAAGTGCACAAGGTAAGGCCAGTGCCATTTACTGCTGACATAACCAGCAAAGTCTATGCTGAAGCAGCACTGACAGCATTAAACACAGTAGTCACTGATTCCTGAATGTTGTAATAATTGACAGGACCCTGCACATGATTTTTCCAGGAAGATGAAACTTTCAATGAGTGAAATTAATGAGGATTCCAAGAGCAAATCAGAGGTATGCAGTGTCCTTCATGCTCCTCAAACATGTTCTGGTGCTCAACCTTTTTATCCAATGGGCCACACAGGCAGTCCCCTGGTCCCTCTGTGGAAGCCTCCGATTCGATTTGGAGAGATTTGATGATTCGGCCACAGACGCAGCTTTATATGTTTTTTCTACGTACCTCGAGGTACCAGGTGTGGCTCGTGAATGCTGAGACGGTGAGCGGATGGAGCGTCCCACGGGAGCACGGTGGAGGGAAGGGGTGTCCCCCGCACACTAGATGGCAGACCTGGGAGTGGACCACAAGTACTTCCGGTCCACTTCTGGGTCTGCCGCGAAGTGCACGGGGGACCCACCTCCCGCCCCCTGGCTCATGCTTCCTGGGTCTGGGGCCAAATGCCAAGCCAGGAGGACGCGGGGTCCACTGTCGAGCGCATGGGGGAACCCCTGGTGCTCCCGTGGGATGCTTCATCCGCCCCACCATCTCCATGTTCATAAGCCACGCCTGTTAGCTCGAGGTACGTAGAAAGAACATACAAAGCTGCGTCTATGGCCAAATCGCTGGTTCTCCGAATCAGAATCGAATCTCCAGTTGGTCAAATTGAATCGGGACAGTGATCCAAATTGAATCACTGTCCCACAAATCAAGCCAAATCCAAATCAAATACTGCCCGCTTCACACACCCCTACTGAATAGTGCTGTGGAAACTCAAGAAACAAAGACCAACCAAAGGTTCTGATGGAAAACATCCAGTCAAAAAAGAAGAAATTGATGGAATCAGTTATGTACTGGTGAGGTTTCCAAGCCATTTGGCACCCAGCCTCAAGTTGAGATATCTCTCTCTCTCTGAATGCCTCCTTTTTCCTTTCTCTTTCCTGAAATAAGGGCATGAAAAAATCTGGAAGCCTCTCTCACACAACATTAATCTACATCAAAATTTGGGGCACCATGGTAGATTTCAGTGCCAGACACATTGGACAAAAGCCTCTACTCTGTAAGTCTTTGCCTTGATCCAGGGCCTGACATCAAGGGCAACACAGCAGCTGGGACAACAGGACAGCCATCAAAGCTCTTGGATTAGCTACACAATCCAGCTCCTGAAGGAACTGCTGTAGGATGATCTAATTTAAAGGTTTAAAGAAGCCAAGTATATCTTCAGTCTAAAATGTCTGTCCTTCCCCATCTGAGTGAAGTCACAAAAAACTATACGTTAAGAGATTACATTAGCCAATCCCAAGACCCCTAGGCACCAAATGTGAATCTCTCTCTCTGAAAAGATGGCTGAGCAAGATGCACATTTTTTAATCCCTTAAGGGATCTGGTGTAACCTCTAGGATGGAATAAGACAAGCATCCTCAGACGCTCTAACTACACTATGAGTTAGTCACTAACCATAAGAAAATAGACTAACTAGACCACTAACTAAGCTAGCTAAGGGTAGTTCAGTTCATCTCTGCTTTGACAGTGAAGAATTTTACAAGGTTGGAAGAATTTCACTCCTTTTTACAGTGAAACTGAGGGCATCACCCTAACACAAAAGCATTTCTTCAAGTCCAGCATACAGAACTTTATTATACAAGCTCTGTAGCTTCATGCTAGAGGCAACAAATCCTATAAAAAGGAATGTAGAAAGCCCACAAAGAACCTTCACCAGAGTTCTTCCCCAGACAAACTAAGACCACATCACTCAAAGCCTGTCTGTACAAATGTATTGTGGTACAACAAAATACCAAAGTCAGTGAACAATATTTTAATATACTCAGACTACACCTTCTGTCAATTATGATGATGAATGGTTTTAAAAAAGAATACCTAAAAAGAACTTTTACTATGGTACTATGAAGCTGTATTAAATCTTTTAAATATCTGTACTCTCTGCGCTGCAGTTCTTTCAGAGGAGCCTAAAAAGACAGTCTTCTTTACCAAATGTGTCACAGTCTTTTCAGTAAACATTGATTTATATTCCCCATGCAACTATTTTTCATTTCCTTGATGGTGGTGGTACACAATGATTGCAACACAATTCTGGGAGTAGTTTGTTAATTAACTGATGCTGTAAATGCAACAGTAGCTGCTCAGAAATTGTTCTCATGGGTAACGTCAAAACAACAGTTTTTAAAAAACATCTGTGGTGGAACTTGAAAACACAGATGAACTTGAAAATTATATTTGTAAGATCTGGAAAGCATTTATAACAAATCACAAATAATACAAGAAACTTTACATCACATTTCTATACTTCCCTTATATACTAAATATGCCTTTAAGTTCAACTACTCAGTTCTGAAAACAGAATATTAATTGTGGAAATTTCTTCCTTAAAACTGGTTCAGTTACATTATACTGAGTGAATCAGTACAAAGGACAATAGAAAGTAAGGTGTTGATCCTGAAATCAGATACTTGTACATGTACTCTAGAGGAATGGAATGCTACATTAATGCAGGCATCTACTAATAGAGTGCCAAATGTAAAATCCAGGTCTAAATATTACTCTCTCTCAGGTTGTTTACATATGTTATCTCCTAAATATGGAGAGACAATTCCCAAACATTTGTTGTAAAGAAAAGAAAACAGATAGGAAAAAGAAAGAATTTTGTTATGAATGCTATTATTGGGACAAACAGGCTAGGGGGTAAGGAGGGGAAGAAACTGACTTCATTACGCAGGTGGATGATCCAAGACCTAATTTCCTACTTAGCTAAATCCACTGAATTACATTTACTGTAAAAAACCTAAAATACATAAAAGTGGGAAAAACATAGATACCTTTACTCTTTCTTCAAAAGGAACTACAAATGGTAGCTCTGTCAAAATTGCAAGCTGTCGTTCTTCGGACACAGAAAGAGGTGCTGGCTCCAGGCCCACTTAAAAATATAAATAAAGATTCACTTTTGATAATAAAACTTAGCGAATATTGTTTATTATACAAAAATCAATTTATAATGATAAATCCATCAATAAACTAAACACGTATGGACAACTGATATACCTAAAACAGAAGTCACAGTACACTGATTTCTTAGAAATCCTAGCTTTCTAAAGTATTAGTGTTTCTACTGTTAAACTGAAATTTGAGCAATGTAAACTTGCTCCAAACAAACTGCAAAACACACACACCCCCACAGCTGCCATTGCATTTTCCCCGTTAGAAATATCATGCTTTCTATTCCTTATTCTTTAAATGTTGCTTAGTACAATAAACCCCCACACCCCACTAAACTCAACATTTTGAGAAATGAACTAATCAAGTTAATCAAGAAGCTTAAGTCACAAGTATCTGCATTAAAGTGGTACCAAAGGCCCCATTCCATTGACCACGGACTCCGTATCTCAGAGTAGTTTACTGGATTGTGTTTTCATTTAGGGAGTCTGTTTTCACCCAGCATACCAACTTAGGTATAAATGTCTTAACAGCCAAGTCAGAGCTCACTGAAATCAAGAGGAAAAACTCAGTTATTTCAATGGGCTTTGGATGCTCAAAAAAATCACATCGGTTTTGTGATCGAATAAACATTCAATCACTATAAAAAGTGAAAAGAATGGCAAGAAGTTACATAACCAGCTTCAGCAAATACCAAGATGATATGTGCAAAGACAAAAAAGGCAAAGGACAAGAGTTGCACAAAAGCAAATCTGAAGCCATGGTGCAGCTCCTCTGGAACTTTCTATTATGCAGTAAGGAGGCATTTCAGAAACAGTTCAACTCAGGCTTTTGCTAATTCAGGTTCACAATCCTACTCTAGTCTCAAAGAAAGACATTTATAGGTCAGACAAGTTTCTTTGGGTAAATCCAGTATCTTTAATTAAACCAACTAAAATAGTTGGAAAAGTTCTTCTTTGCAAGCTTTAGGGTACAAACACGCTTAATCAGGCTGAGGAAGCATCTGCAGCTGGTCTGTGCTCTTCCTGGATGGAATAAAAGAGCATGCAGGGCACAACAGATATAGAGAAAAGAAACGACGTGCAGGGGCACACAATGCTACTGACGTTGCTCATATACTTGATGGTGTGGTTAAAGGTCTATCTAGATACACGCTGAAGACCCAGACACAAAAGCCCCAGACATTTTTGCTTTCACATTTATCATCAAAGCTGAGAGAAAACCTGGCTCACAAGCAAAGCAAGGCTTTGCAGACAAGGTAATAAAGCTGAAGTAAATGGCACATGTGACTAATGGGGCCAAGGAGATTACAGCAGCACTTGCAATCTTTTCTTTGGCATCTGCCTGAAGGGTGGTGGTGCCTGGCCGCCCTTCTGCAGCTAGGCACCACATCAATGATCATTATTAAAGGGCACTGTACTTTTTAATTCCCCAAATCACTTCTAAGTACACATATTTTAAGAAGTGATTTAATGTGACATGACCCAACATAGTACACTTGATGAATACCCACTTTTGGCAAATTTCAGCAAGGCAAGCCCTTGGAATTTTTGATAAAATACTTCTTTAAGGTTACCCTTTGTTTACTCAGTAAACATTTTTAATTAAAGTCAATGTGTGCTGCCTATTAAGCTAAGGGTTAAAAGCATTTTAAACAGAAAGTGCATGTACAGCAAAGGTAAACCACTACCCAACTTCGACAGTTCAATTATTCTGGTCAATTAGTCAATTTTATCTGCATTTCTCCATCAAGGTTTCCTTCTTTAAAGAGAAATATGGGATGGAGTCATCAATACAGAGGACATTTAGAACTCAAGAGTCTGCCATTTAAGTAAATGAAAAAGCACAAATAAACACAGCCATATGTGTTCAGAGGTACTTTCACACTAATTGGCTCTATCCCATATGAAAGCAAGTGGGATTAAAACAAATCATACGCACATTGTTATGTGCTTGTTTTCACACAATGCTTTTTTTTTTTCATTGTGTTTGCATCTCACAAAAGATGACATCTCTGAAGGCTGAAGGCCTTTATTTAGCCGAAAAGCAACTGCACTGGCACCTACAAGATGAGTTTCCGTATACAAATGTATATCTAATCCTGGACCTAGTTTAGGGGTAACCTTTTAATTGGGAAATCATTACCCTGATCCACTGTCCGATGCCAGAAGCCATAAGATTCTTCAGGTAACTGGGATAACCGTAGTGGTATCTACAGGCTCCCAAGTGGCATAGAAAGTAGAGACTTTGGAATAAGACATGCCAGGTTTCAAACCAAAGTCTACTGTGCTGAGAGATCCCACTTCCTGTGGATGGCTTTACCACAAAAGACCCTCCCACTGTGCTGAAGGCACAAATACCTCCTGAGGAAGTACAAAAGGAATGTCTCCTTGGCTTTAATCAAGCATGTCACCAGAAATATCCTGAAACCAGAATCAATAAGTCTTTTCCAGTCTGAGCACATCCAAAAGGAAAATATTCCAAGGCCACAGTATGGAGTTATATGGAGTTGAAAACTGATATAGCTATCTGAGTGGGCTTTTTGCTCTGCCTTGAAGCTACCTGTCCCTTGGTCTCCCATATGGAAATTTTGCTTCATGCAAAAATGCAGGACCACTCAATTTGAAGTACTGGGGTCTCAAACGTGCAGCGTAGCAAACACCTTGAGGAACCTTACCAATACTGACTGGTGAAGCAGCTCTCTGGACTTGAAAAGCAACACAAAGTTTGGCTTGGGCCACCTTGGGCAGTGCGAGAACACAGTCCTACAGGCAGCTTTCAAAGGGACATAAGCTAAAGTGAAAAAAGACACACTAGATTCTGAAACTTCACACCCACAGTGGAAGTCAAAATGAAAGTCATACTAGTGACTTTTACCAATAACATCTCCCTACTTAGATGAGCCCATAAGCTCTAATCCTGTGAAAGATCCTGCCCTGAAAGTCTTACTTAATTCAGTGCAGGTGAAAGGTTCTGCCCAGAACCTCTGCACGGCCTAAACCTTTATTTTACACATTTCTACACCTAACCCACTGCAGCAAATGCAGCACAAAGTTCCCTTTGGTATTCAAAATCCATCATGCAACAAGTATGAACCATTTGGGCATTTATACATGTGCTGGGGCGAGGAGGGAAGGAGGCAGCAGTTTACATTATAGTGACTCTGAGAGTGGCTAGTTCAATGAGCTGTAGTTCAAGCACCCCTGCTACCATTTTGAAGTGTGCGGATCCTGATATACGAGACGCGGGGGTAGTTCCACGCTCCAGCAGGCTCAAATAATCAAGTCTGCTTTGACGAGCTATAATTACAGAGCGTCAGAGTAGCTTCCGCACTCATGTACAGGCACCCTTTTAGACTAGTTCTACTCCGCTTGAGGGTCTAAGCTCGTATTCTTTAGTCATACATTCACTTAAGAAAATCTATGGCCTTAACAAGTGTTTTGCCCCAAGTGCAGCAGCACAAAAACTTAAAAGAAGTGGGAATAACAACAAAGATTTCAGAAGCAGCTGATTATGCAGTGACGTGTCTCCCTCATATATAATTATGGTACCTAGAGCTCTTCTGTTATGTTAGCAGGGAGCTTTTTAAAACATACCATTCATAAAAGCTAAGATTCAATGGGTTGTTTACACATTCTTTACAATGTTGTTTTTATATGTAATATAAATTATATGCAGACACATGCACATGCACACAACAATGTATGATGTCCCTCAGCATTTCTACCCCTAGGAGGACTGAAATAAGCAGAAATGTTATCAGGTGAACTGGGGAAAACTATTTCAATTAGGAAGTGAAAGAAAGATGTTACAATGTATATAATGTACATATGACCGTATACCAGTTAATTTAATTTTATACCAATCACATTCATATTTCAAATATGCAAATACAGATGATAACTGAAAAAAATAAACTACTACTCGGCACCATTATGGCTGGAATGAAATGTCTGAGGAAACCAAAGCTTTCCTGAATTAATTCTTACCACTACTTCTAAAACAAGGCAAAATGAAGTGACTTTAGTGCCTAATGTTAAAAAATGATGCAGAAGTATCTTACCATCTAAAGTAGACTGCAGGGGTCCTATTCTTCCCATTCTTCTGACTCGCCATACATGTCTGGCAGATGGCACATACAGCTGAGTAACCTATCAAGTGAATAAGCTTTATGTGTAAACATTTCAAGAGCTCAAGAGTCAGGAAGTGGTAAGGTAAAAAGGTAAGCCCTAAATCTGCCTTCATCATGGCTACGCCTTTAAATATGATTGTAAATAATTAGTGAAATAATATGAAGCATAATTCACATTCTGTTCCTTCAATGGTCTAAAATTTTCTGGCACTCTATTTAAGGAAAAAATGAAGCAGGAAATAAAGATCCTTTTACAAAAACACAACCTCAACGGTGCATAAAAGAAATTTCTTTTTACTTGATATTTTGTTACTTAAATTTAAGATGAAGGCCATTTTTTAAAGAAATAATACTTTGTTTTAAAAAGTGTCTTTTATACTCAAATGAACTGTCATTATACTATATTATATACCAGTGACGCTCAACATATTCATCCAGCAGGCCAGATGTACAGTGCCTGGACGTACAGAGAGGGGCAGGTGGCAGCCTCATCCTGATCCAGCTGTGTGGGCGGAAGGGGACTTAGCCCAGCCCAAACCCAACCCTGTGAGGCGGGAAGTGGGGGAAAGGGACAGGGGTGACAGGAGTGGGGGAATGGCCTGGTCCCAACCTGGCCAGGTCAGAGAAAGGGGATGTGGATTAGGCCAACAGAGGGGAGAACGTGGGGTTCGAAGGGGGTATGGCCTGCACCCAAATATGCTGCACAGGGGAAGAGGGCATGGCCTTGCCCCAAGTCAGCCACACAGGGGGAAGGAGGCCTGGCTCTAATCTGCTCTGGCCATGTAGGGGGAGGGTCATGCAGAGCTTGAGATTTTGGCAGTAGGGGAGGGGTGGCAGTATTAATTGCCACTGCTCCCCCACCACCCAATTTTCTGACCCTTGGGGAGCCCTGCAGGCTGGATTCCAAGACTTCGTGGAATTTGGCCCATGAGTCAGAGGTTGAGAGCCCTCTTATATACAGTGAGCTACAACACTTAATACACTCTTCAGATTTAATTTATCTAAGTGTCATATGAAATATCTTTCTGTTTAACATCTCTGCTGTCCCCAAAACATCTAGGCACCACATCCAAGAAACAAGTCAAGAATGAAGAACCTTACCATTCCAGGGAATTCCATCTACAGTTTGAAATGATCTCAAACATGTAGATAAGCTAATATAAATGGCATATCTTTACTGCTCCTCACTAAATTTTCCAGCTGTTAGGAACCATATCTTTGAGACAGCTAGACCAGTTTACTTCAGACTTGGCTTGCTGCTTAGATCCTAGTTTTTATCTGTTGAAGTTACGATTGTGTATATTTTCTGATGGGCATATATTGGCACTCTCTAACACACATGAATTCACACCCATTTTTCAAAAGCAACTGATGCAGTTTTGGCTTTAACTTTATTGCAGTCACCTAAGGAAATTTTTATTTCAGAAGAAAAGTTTGAGTGACTCTACTATATTTCAGAGAAATCCTCTTCCAATGAAGTGAATCTTCTCCTATAAAGATATGCCTTCTAGTGAGCCTCATTCCCTAGAACAAATATTTGCTGCCTACTGAAATGCATCAAACCCTGTGGAACTTTGCTCACTGTAGTTGCTTGCAGACATTAAAAAAATCCCAAAAAACACCATGCTTTACTGGAAGAGGCTCTGCAGTGTCTATAAATTGGGCACTT